AGGGGGGGTCCCAGGCATGTTTTCTAAGCTGCCCCCACCAAGAGGGAATATACAGACACCATCCTACTCACAGCCAAACTGAGGTTTGAGGGAAGGGGTTCTGCCCACACCTTATACCAGCTCAGGGAGGAGGACACACCTGGGCCCCTTCTGGAGCGCTGGCTCCTGTTTAGGGACTTCTAGGAAGGCCTGCAGATTGTGAGGGGCAAGCTCCCTGGTGGGTACCCCAGCCCCCCACTCTCCCAGGCCTCCATGACTGGAGTCGGGAAATCATCCAGGTGCCCAGGCTGGCTTACCTTTGAGGTTGGAGGTGCCAACAGTGGAGACAGCCGGGGAGGAGGACTGAGCGAAGCAGCTGAAGGCTGCCTGCTCGCTGGAGGACTCGTCCGAGGTGCCCGTGTCCTTTTTGTGTCGGTCCTCGTACACCCTCATGGACTGGAGGGTGAGCTGTTTCCTGCAGAAGCCCACACCCAGCGTGAGCACAGATCGCCCATCCCAGTGGCTCACCCTCTCCCCGGAGCCGCACACCTCACCCCCGGCCACCCGTGGGCCACACTGACTCTGCCACCTGCCTGCCCCGGGGACAGCCACACAGACCCACACATTGTTCCTGACCCTCTCCCTGGGCTGAAGACGGTGGCCCAGGGGTGTCGGGTGGAAGAAGGCTTAAGGTGCATGCATTCAAGATCAGGGCTGCATTAGGGAGAGGGCACGGGTGTGGGCTGTGATTTGGTTTAAAAACAAAAAGCCGACAAACTCCCCACTGGTGGCTAAGATGGGAGGAAGTGGTTATTTCACGCTGCGCTTATCTGTGATCCGTCCCTATTAATTGGAGTGAAAAAAAAACCTATTTAGACGTTAGAAATTATTTTTTAGCGCCTGCCTTCCCTCAGGGGGTAGGTTAAAAATTTGGGTTAATTTTCTGGATTTTAGAAATTCTTTGAAAGCGGGTGGGGGAGGGGAGCTCCTTTCATAGACTCTCCAGCTGTCTGCTTGATGCAAAATGATCCCTGTACCCACAAAGGAGGGAACCCCCAGTTGCTCCAGGGGCCTCCGTTCTGTCTGATGGTATTTGCAAAAATTCCAAAGCATTTTGTGAATGGCTTAGTTCTTTCCCGGGACCTGTCCAGGAGTAACTTCAATTAATTAGGAATTAATTGCATCTGTATATAACTGATTATCCCTGTCCCTTTTCTTCCCGAGAGAACCATGGTGCGGCCTAGCTAATGTCCTTTAAGGTGACATGTAGGTGTTAGAAGAACCAGTATACAGAAACCAGCAAGCACATGGCAGAGGGGAGTTCATGACCACCTTCCCCTCCCTCCCCTAATATAAGGGCCTGCACCCTACAGTTGAGACTTGGGACCTAGCGAAGTGATTTTTCTAAATTATCTGAGAAAGAAATAATTGTCTCAGCTCACCTTTTCTCTCTCCTGCCATTTCCAGTGTCCCGGAATCCTTTCGCAAAAGGGTTGTTGTCTATTTTTAACTGGGTTATCTAGAGGAGGACACACAAGCAAGAAAGACATGTTGGCCTCGTGTTCTAGAATGTTCTGAGTGTTCCCCTCAACTGAGCAGTTCACTAGAGATCTGACTGCCAACAGGAGAGGTCGCTGGGGTGTGCTAGGTTGAAGAGAAAGGGAGAGGGGTTACAGGCAGATGTGTGGAGGAGCCGGAGGTAAAAATCAAAAGGGACTCTCCCCCAGTGTGCCTCTCCCATAGGGGGCCAAACCAGGACTCCACGCTGAAATGGCCCCACCTGGGAGATGCCTCATTCTTTTCTCGGGGCAGCCGACAGCTTGGGCTTAGAAATGGAAAAGTTGTCAGAATTGTCAAAAGGGACAACCTGTAGACTTTAAAAGGTATGCTTTCATTTTGCGTTTTTCTTAATACCATGCAATTAATCATCAGATGCGCTGTGGCACATTTCTTAGCCCCACACACACAACACACACAAACGCGCACACACCGTACACTCCAACCTTTTTCTGTGAATCTAATGAGATGACTTATGGGGTTTTGCTACCCTTATGCCAGAGTGGGCTTGATTTTTTTTTTTCCTGGGTGGGGTGGGTGCTTAAGGAGTTATAATATTGACAATCACAGATTTAAAAGGACTGAATGACCACTGGAAACGTTTGTTTTCATTTAGATGCTTCTGCCACGGCCATTAGGTAGAGAAGGCCCGTGGTCTCTTTGTCTGATCAAAATTGCTACAATTGATTATTACAGTAACAAGGTAAGAGTGCCGGGCTCTGGGGCTAGAGGGAGCGTGCTTTCTGTGGGATAAGGGGAAATGCCCTCTATGTCCTCTTCCAAATCCCTTCCCTTTGGGGGGATAATGTGCCTGGGGGTCCCTGGAGGAGGCAAAGGGCCCCCTGGCTCGATCCTTGTTCTTGGAATAAATGCTGGTTCGCTTAGACTTGCAGGGACAGGAGGCCATGATACCTTAGTCCTAAGGCTCCACACCTGAAACAGCCGGCCCCAGAGGAACCCCCTACAGTGACAGTAAATTCAAAATGCAGGATGTTGTCCCTGGAGCGGCACTCACACTGCGGACCAGGGTTCAGAAGTTGAAGAGCAGGGGTCCTCAGCCGCCCCCCCCCCATAACTGCCTGCTAAAAGTGTCTCTCTGCTCCGCTCCGTGCCCATGACCTTCAGGCCACCATAACTGTACATACCAGGTGCTGCCTGCTGTTCCATTTGGGACACTCCTAATCCCCGGCCTCAGGCCCGGGGAGGGAAAAAACAACTTCCAATGAAGTGGTGACTTTGGTCACCTCCTCTCAAACGCTTCAGACAACTCAATTAGTATGACCCTGTGATCAGAGTAAGTTTTTCCAAACACACTCACACACACACACACACACACACACACACACACACACACACGCACGCACACAGACACGACACACCATAAAAAACACAGCAGCATAGAAGGTAATAAAAACCAGACCAGCTCCTCGCGGATTTCTGGCTAAGAAAGAGAAGCGGCTCCACTGGGATTCTTCTCCCAGGATCCCCCCTGGCTTCTGCCTTAAATCTTTAGCTGGTTCCTTGGGAACCTGATTTCTTGATCCTTCTTCCTGAAGGGGAAGAGGATAAACCTCGGAGCAAACAGGAGAAAGCCCTGGGGTCAAGGGTGGGGGCGGGGTGGGTGGCATCAGAGACTAGTCACTGGGAGCTTCTCTCGGGCAGTCAGTTTGGCATTTTTTTCCCTCCGCCCTGAATCCTAGCTGGTCAAGTGGGTTTTTTGTTGTTGTTGTTGTTGTTTTCTTTTCTTTTTCTTCTGCCTCTGCAAGGTACCAGTTCCCCTTCCCACTCCCCGAAGCTCCACGGAGGGTCCAATGGCAAAAGAAAATGCAAGACCCCCACCCCAATTCGCACCCTCACCCAGAGCAGCTTAAAGGGCAGGGGCAGTCACACCTTTAAGGCCCCCAAAAAGCATCTCGTGTTACCTTGTCATTCTGGTATGCTGTCACGGCGATGAACTCGGTTTCGGGGAACAAGTACGTCCGAAATGTACTATATGGAAGTTTCAGGATGTCATTGGCTCTCACGATATGAAATCGGGGCTGGTATTTGTGCATGGAGTTGAGTATAGTCTGCAGGGGCAGGCGGGGGAGAGAGACACAGCAGAAAGGGTACTTAGCGGGACAAGCAGGATCCTCGGACCCCTGCCAGGCTGACAGCTACCCCACCGGAGGGCACCCGCTGGCACCGAGCCCCCCTCCAGGGAGCACCTCCTTGGGCACTTGTCACTGGACAAATGTTATCTTCTGGAGACTCCAAATGGCTCGTCAGCTTCCAAAGGGTCCCCCCCACCCTCACCATCTCAGGTTCATCCGAACCTTGAACCCTAGCCTACCTGAGTACCAAAACTATAATTCCCCTGCCACGCTGCGTGATCGCTTGGGAAGGCCAAAGTCTTAAAAGATAGAAAAAAACATGCATTTTAATTTACAAAATGATTCAGTCCTTTAAGCGTCCACTAATTGACGAGCCCAATCCACTTAAAGCCCAGAGAGGCTGAACTCCAGAGAGGAATATTTATGCCTTAATCAAATCAAGGGCTTCAAATGCAATTCCTGCCGCTGAAGAAATTTCCGCGCCCTCCTCGCCTTCCTGGGCCTAATCTTGCTGCTTATTGCTCGCTTATCACTGTTTATTTTTGTTGAAATGTTGGGGAGGGGTAGGGGCCGGGGGCAAAAGGTCCTTCGCTAGACTTTTACAAGCCATCCACGTCTCCTGGACGGTTCTAAGTATGCTCCCACCACATATATAAATATATATACTCCCAACACACACACACAGTTTTGATTCCGGCGGTCAGTCTCATTTCTAATAAAATCTGACTTTCACCCAAACCCAATTCTTTTCGAGTAAAAGAGAGAGAGAAAAAAAGGTCTTTCCAAAAATGCAATCACACCCTTTCACAACCTCCTAGAAGCCTCGAACTTTCACACTCTCCCAAGAAATACTATGGCTGATTTCAAAAGAGAAGAAGGATTATCTGAAAACCTTGATGAACACATCACTTTTTTAAAACTGAGTTTCTAGCGATTGGTTTTGGACTTCCACTGTCAGGGCAGGCATTTCCCAAGCCCTACAACTGCCCCAGAACAGGAGCCCGTAGGTACCCTTCTCTTAGAAAGGCTGGGCCTTCCCTTCTCCGGAGAGAAATACGCTCTGCTGCGGATCCAACAAGTTCCCTACCTTTGGCCACAGAGAGGAAGAGAGAAGCCTGAGATTTCACATGGCCAGGGGGAAGCCCTGCCTTTGCTAGAGCAGAGAGAGAGAGAACTTTTTACAGAAAGGAGCGATGAAACTTACAAATCCATGCTTGTCCGAAATGTTGTTGGTGAGTTTCAGTTTGTGGAAAGTGACAACTTTGGACATCCACTGTTCCCCGGTAGCCGGGCTGTCCGGGTGAATATACATTCTCTTTGGCATTTCAGGGTCAGCCTTACCCGCCACCATCCACCGAGAATTGTGAAATTTATACCGACAGTCATCGGCAGCTATAATGTCCATCAACAAAATATATTTGGCTTTTTTATCCAGCCCAGAACATCTTACTTTAAATGGCGGAAACATTCGCCTGCAATAAGAGAGATGGGAAAAGAAAGAAAAACAAGTCACTTAGAATCTTGGGTTTGATTCTCTATATACCCTAAAATATTTAAATCAAATTTAAAATGCCTGGGTGAGCTTATCTGTTTCAGAGCGGGGCGGCTGGGCGAAACATAGTTTTCTTGCAACAGCAGAAGTATCAAACAGATTTTAATTTATCTTTAAATGCCTCAAGATTCAAAACAAGTGAGGGGTAGCATTCCATTTCTCTACAGGGTCTCCTCACTTTATATATTTTCCTGTCTGTGTGACTTCACAGGTTCTTGTCCCTGCCTTTTCCCGGTCCAGCTCTACACCGCTCAGGATAGGGTTTTCAAAGTGCGGTCAGTTAAAGCCGGAATTTTTCACCGCTCGCCCAGGAGAAAATGTTTCACTTATCAAGGAAATGAACGTCCAGTTTATTCCGAAGCAGCCCGGCTTCAGAGCAGCAATCCCGCTGCTGGCGAAAAATGAAACTGGACTTCGGTGCGTTCTAAAGCCGAATTTTGTAGCTTGGGGTGAACTCCCAGGCCCGATAACCAGCCCGCCCGCCCGGGCGCAGCTCACCACATTCCCCCACTGCACAGGCCAGTCCCAAACGGCCAGCCTGGGCCACCAAACCGCCGCCTATTCCCCAGAAGTGCTGGGGTTCTATCCTCACGACTTAAAAGGAAGCACTTCTCGGGGAAACTGGCTAAATGTCTCCTGGGTTTGAGGATTTTTGTCCCGAACTTTGGCCTCAGGTGACTGGGATAGACAGAGAAAGCTGAAGACATCTTGAGCGGCATTTTATTTCTATTCTTCCAACTTTATGCCTTGATCGACTTCAAGGCCATAAAAAAAAATCCGTGATTTTCAGGCAAGGACCTTATGTAAAATATGGTCGAGAATATTTACACACAAAACAGAAGCATGTGTCTAGGTCTTCCCCAACTGGCTCCTTGAGTCTGCAAACATAGTCTTAATGATCCCCCAATCGCAGGCTGAACTCTCCCTTGGATTAGGGACACGTGAAGCGCGTGGACAAACAAACCCAGCTGCCCTGCGACTCCTCTCTGACCCGGCAGCCTCGGGCTCAGGGCCCCTCCAGCCCCAGAGGCCGGTCTGGTGGACAGAAAGGGCCGGAGGAGCTGGTGTCAGGCCTCTGGCTCCCACACAAAAGAAAGGGGCTTGAAGTTTTTGTCTCTGAGCACAAAATGAAGCAGACAAAAAACACAACATCAACAAAGCCAGAAGGATGTTCCAGAAAGGTTTGAACAGGGAGACTGCATGCTGTGGGGTGGGTTTCTTTCTTCCTGCAGAGGAGTCTGGGCTCTCCTTAAAACTCTATCCTGTCGGAAACCCAGGCTGCAGAGTTAGGCAGGGAACGCCAGCGCCGGCTGACACCCAGGTAAGCTGAAATCGCCTGCCACCCGGCAGGCCCGGGAGTCTGCACAGTTCCAGGGGAACCCAAGTTTTCCTGTCAGCCACACGGACTGACGAACCCACGGCTCTGGGAGGAGAGAGGGAAAGGGAGGAAAAAGCCTCCACGAGTCTGGGGAGGGGCCCTCTGCTCGCTTACCTTCCCGACTTGGTGATGACCATCTCCGTGCCCCGCTTGTGGAACTGATCCCAAAGTTCCTTGGCCTCGAGGTGCACCTTGGGGTCATCCTCCACCTCTTCTTCGGGCTCCATGGTCTTCAGAGGCCTCAGATGCGCCTGGGGCCCCAGGGACGAGAAAGGGATGCCGGTCTCGGCCGCCCCCACCAACTGATCCATGATCGGCTTGGCCAGAGCGCCGGGCAGCGAGAGCGCCGCGGCGCCGTTGGGAGGCAGAGTCAGCGCGGGGAAGAACGGCGGCTGGTGCCCCAGCACCGCGCTCATGGCGAAGTCCGGCGCCCGGTGAGGTAGGAACGGATGGTAGGCCATGCTTGTCCCAGGAATGACCGGATCTCTCATGGAGAGGTTCCTCCACTCCGGGCGGGGCGCTGGGCTTCCGCGGGCACGAGTCCGCAGCTGCTGTTTTGTTTTGATTAACAGCAGCACATAGTTTTTAAAAAACAGGCAAAAAGAAAAAAATCGCAACCAAAGCACCTCGAAGGGAGGGTGTTCGGTGTCTTAAGTGTCTTTTGGGGAGGAGAACGCCGCTTTTAAAGGGGGCAAGGCGAGCGATCGGGAGACATGGTCGCGAAGTGACTGTCCTGGCGTCTGGCGTGTTTAGAAAGCCGCCCCTGCAAGTCGGTTTCGGAGGCGAGAGGAGCGAGCAGGCTGACGCCTCGCGCCGAGCCCCGCTGCTCAGCTCCAAACGGACACGCAGCCCTGGGTCCCAGGGACCGCGCGCCCCAGCCCCCAGTTCTTTGTTGCAAACGCGAACGGTCCTCCTAGGAGACTTTTTACCTTTTCTTCTCCTCCTTCGTCCCCCGCCCTCCTATCTCTGTTCCTCTCCCTTCCTCGCAGGAGCGCCTGCAGTTGCGCTCGACCGGCTTGAACCGCCGGCGAGACAGCGGAAAAAGTCTCTCTCCTTAAAAAAAAAAAAAAGAAAAGAAAAGAAAAAAAAATCTCTGATTTAAGCCCTCTCCTAGCAGCGCTATCAAAACTTGAACTGCACACTGGCTTCCGTCCGCCTCCTCCTCCTCCTCCTTCCTCCGCTCCGAGCCGAGCCTCCGGAGGGTGTCCGGGTTTCAATCCGAATCTGGCCGTGCTCTGCTCCCGCGCCTGCCGTCTTCCGTGTCCTAAAACGTGAGCGAATTCGCTTCCTAAATCTGCGTCCAGACGCACAGGGTAGGGAGTCTGGAGGGAGGGGGGGCGAGGAAAAAGGAGGGAGAGAGAAAGAGAGAAAGAGAGGGACGGAGTGGGAGAGGGAGCGCGAGGAGAGGGAGGGAGCGAGCCAGCCGGCGAGAGCTCCTCGCCACCCTCCACCGCCTCTAGAATTCCCCGGGCGTCTGCTCGGCGGCTCTAGAAGGTCGGGCTCTGCTCTGGGCCGCGGGGAGCCGGGGGCCTCTTGATTGGCTCTTTGACGCTTTCGGACCAATTGTGTTGCTGCATAGGCGTGGTTTTCACAGGTCGAGTGCTGGGAGGGATAGAGCCGAGTTATAAAAAGAAGGTGTCGGAAACTGTAACGTCGCTGCGCCGCATCGGTACTACTGCCTGTCCTGTGAATATGTCAACATGATCAGAGGGAGGGCGGGCGCCACTGGGGAGCGCGCGCACCGAGTCGCCTCTAGGTGGCTTATCGAGAGATCGCCGCAGCCCAGAGCTCGCTCGCCTGTTCTTGCTCAGCCCAAGTCTGAAATGCCTCAGTCATCCAGCCGGGGATCGAGGGAGGAGGCAGGGCCAGGGAGGAAGGGGAGGGAGGAGGGAGCGAGCGAGCAGGGCCA